TTCACCGTCGTCAAGTCCACGGACCCGTCAAGCGCGGCGCTGAAGTTATTTTGCGTCATGCACGACACCAGCTGCGCGTTCACGTTGAGCCCCTCGTAGGCCTTGACAAGCACGTTGCTGTCGCAGTTGTCGAGCGCGTCCACCGAGCCGAAGACCAGCACGGCCAGCGCAGCTCCGAAGGTCCAGCAGCGCATGATGTCCGAGAGTTCTGAATGTAGCAGAGTCCTTCGACTGTCTTCTCCCCGAGCAGGACAAGATTGCAAATGAGGGCTTTGCCTGGCAACGAACGCTCGTAGCGGGAGAAGGAGTCAGACGCGCCAAAGCCTTGACCCACAAGGCCTTCGGAATCGGGAAGCCATCTGGGCGCCACGGACGAGGCGAAACGCTGCACGAAATGACGACCCGACACCTCTACGCCGAGAACGTGGCGGCGATGTGAGATGCTGGGAATCACGCCAAGGCTCGTGCGTGACAGCAAATGTTTTTGCGGCGTCGAGCGTCAATTGATCGGCACGTCCGAGGAAGCCGAAGCTAAACTGCCATCGAAAAAATCGATCTAAAATGACCAAGCAGCTGGAAGCGAGTTGTCGCATCGCGGCGGCGCTGGACTGGAGCTGCTATTCTGACAGCGCTTGCCTTGCCTTCGGCCTTTCATTCCGTCATGTGGCGAACGTATCCAGTGGAGACGTGGAGACGCTGGTGAGTCAGTATTGACGAGCATGGCTCTAGGATTGAGAAATTCGGGCCTTTGCAGTCGAGACTCGCCGTACTCTACAACATGGTGCAACTTTGTCTGTGTGGATACCCTCACCAAATGTAGGGCTACAACTTGTAGCCCAAGGCGTCTATTCTGCAGTGCACGGTGTTCAATTTTCATTGATTCCCGATTTGGTGGCGTGAAGAACGCTCCACGTTCAACTGTAATGATACGAATCATTTCGTACACCGTTGCATCTTGGAAATGGACAGACAAGGTGAATGGCTACACTGTCGTTATCTTCCGACCTTGGCACCACCCGATGAAACCACACTTCTTGATATCCTGTGGGTCGGATGCCAACTTCGAATGAACCGCAACAAACAAAACAACACCATCTCGTCATGGTCTCATAATCAAGCCGAGTCCGTTGGTCATTGCCAGTTTCCTGGAACGATTTGGATCGGTCGGTTGACATTAGCCCAGCGAAAACGTCTGTGACCCCATCGATGGCTGGGTATTTGGGGGCTCCAATACATGCCAATCTCCAACAAAATTTAGGCAATTGGCTTTCACATCTCAGCACCCGACACCTACCCGTCGCGGCCAGCAGACACCATGTGTCGAGGCGCAAAACTGTCCGGCGTTCTGCCCACAGCCGTTCGAGCTCGGGCATTTTGCAACTCGCCAGCTCCTGCCCAAGACCCTACAGCGAGAACCACAAGAGCGTCAAGATGGCAGAGCTCGAGTGCCCTATGCAGACCAAGGCGTTCAACATCTTCTGGTGGGTGGCGGCAGTCAGAACGATTTACATAATGCGAGCTTCTACTGACGTTGACATTTCTATTCGTAGGCACAAGGCAGAGCTGCGGCTGGTCGCACAAGCGAAGCCAGAAGCCCCAGTGTTTGCATTCTCGCGACCATCACTCTTCGGTGGACGTGAGGAGTTCCTTTTGCAGTACCCGGCACGACTTGAGCAGCCGAGCGAACGAGACGTCGCTCGACACCGTTTTACTGTTCGGCACGGCAAAAAGCGACGGAGTTTCCAGGCACCCGATGCCGCCACGTTCGATACGTGGCTATCAGCATTGGAGGAGGCACTGGAGCCCAACAGGGAGTCGGAACATTCTCATACTCCGAGCAGCATTGCTACAACTGCAACTACTAGCACGGAAGGGAGTACTGGAACCATCAGCCAGGGCAGAGTGAGCAATGCCGGCAGCTCTGGCACTCGGACCAGCAGTCGATGTAGCAATCCCATAAGCCAACGTAATCACCACTCGCAGCCCAGAGCACCAGCTCTAAGACTGACCTTGGAGCGACCCTGCTTCACACGTGATCCTAACAACTTGAAATTGATCAGACTACACCGTCCTGCCGCGACTATCGTCGGAACTGAGGCCGATGATGACGTATTGGACGTACCAGAAGCAGACACCGATATCGAGTACGAACCGGAAGAAGAGCTGACCGAAGAGGACGATGTGTCTAGCAATGATGAAATCCTGAAAGATGAACCTATTGATGTGGCTGAAGCGGATGCCGACGACAACATTGATCTTGCAGATGCTACAGCCAATGCTGATGACCTGGGTGACCCGACGAATATTACCACTACTGAAGCTGTTGCACTCACCGTTGCTGACAGTGTTGGCTCCCAGAGTGATGATACTGCGCAAGGTTTCACTTCTGGCAATGTCGAGAGTGTTATCGCAGCGGAAGGTCAAAACGCCCTCGACTTAGAGGTCAACATTTTCAAGACCGAAGCCGAAGAAGTTGAGTCGGGAGTGAAGTTAGCCGTTGAAGCGCTTGCGGTTGCAGTGGTTAATAACTCAGTCGAAGCGTCAAGCGGTCCAGTCGTCACAACCCCCGCCCCACGTAGCTACACAAAGAAACCTGCTCAGAAGAGCACTTCCCGTTCCTCTAGTGTCACCAGTAAGTACAAGTGGGTACCTCTCGATCCAAACAACTCGAGGCTCATCTGGGTACGCAGCTCAATTGAGACCGAAGTGAAATCTGCTCCACGAAGCAACCCAAGACGGAAAGGTGGCAAACCTGCACGAAGATGGGTCCCTATTGATCCAAACAGCACACGACCCATTTGGATTCGGGAGAACACTGCAGTTCGGATGGAATCCCGGTACAAGGCGACATCGCATACACGCAAATGGGTCCCTCTTGACCCAGAGAACTCCAGATTCATCTGGGTACGTCACCAAGCAGCCTCCAGCAAGCAGCCCCGACACTGATCAAACGTCGATCCATAGTATTTGTAACAATTCAACATACGTTCATTATTTTCAACGCAGTATTTCTCTATCTTGCCTTTAAGAAAGCGCAACTCAGTGTTCTCTTATCGTTGGCTGGTTTGCCAGTTCTTGGCGTGGTAGACTGAAGCATTGTCCTTCGGCAACGCAGGTTTGCCTAGAATCATATCGGCGGCCTTCTCTGCGATCATGATCACAGCCGCGTTCGTGTTGCCGCTCACAATATTCGGCATGACGGACGCGTCCACAACGCGAAGACCTTCCAGTCCGTGAACGCGAGTCTGCGGGTCAACCACCGAGTTGTCGTCCACGCCCATACGAGCCGTGCACGAGACGTGGAACTCTGCTCCAGCGCGCTTACGAAGCCACGCGTCGATCTCGTCGTCCGACTGCACACTGTTCTTAGGGGAGATCCCCTCTCCGGAGAACTCCTCGAACGCGTGTTGAGAGAAGATCTCACGCGTTAATTTCACGCCTTCTCGAAGCGTAAGTCTGCTTTCTTCATCGGCCATGTACTTCGGATCAATACTCGGGTAGTCGCGAGGATTGGCACTGCGCAGCTTGAGCGTGCCGTTGTTTGAGCCTCGCATAAGCGAAATGTGGCCACTCATGGCGTGGCCAATGTCCTCGCGCAACTGGCAGCGATGGTCCACTGCACAAGGACTGAAGATAACCTGCAGGTCCGGTTGCTCTTTGCCTGGTGCGCTGCAAAACAACAAGAGTTAGATAACTCATAAACTCAATAGATGACGCTGCGGCTTACGTTCGAATGAATCCGCCCACTTCGCAGTGTGGCGACGCGCCTGGACCAGTCTTGGATGTCCACCACTCGTACCCAATCTTGAGGACATTGCGGGGGTATCGCTTGGATGCGTTGTACAGTGTAATTGGCTGTTTGCAAGCGAATTGCAAGTTGACTCCGATATGGTCCTCCATATTCTGCCCGACTGCCGGCAAGTGGTGCACTAATGGCACACCAACTTCCTTCAAGTCGTCTGCATCTCCGACACCAGAGAGCATCAACACCTGCGGAGTGTTGATCGCACCACCCGATAGGATCACCTCCTTCGCAGTCGAGATCTTCGATACAGTTTTTGTTTTGCTGTCTTCAACTTCAATGCCGACCGCTTTCTTGCCATCAAAGAGCACCTTGTTAACGTACGTGTCGGTGATGACAGTCAAGTTCTCGCGGTCCATTACTGGGTGCAGGAAAGCAGCAGAAGTGCTCCATCGTTTGCCTTCGTGGATAGTCAAGTCGTGCCATCCGAAACCTTCTTGCTGGTACCCATTCAGATCGTCCGTGAATGGGTATCCAGCTTGTACACTGGCGTCGAGGAAGGCTTGGAACAGAGGCTGATCCTTTTGAGTGTTCCTCACGACGTGGAGAGGTCCATTGCCGCCTCGGTAGTCGTCTCCACCGAGTTGGTGGTTCTGTGACCGTTTGAAATACGGCAAACAGTCGGCATAGCTCCAGCCTTCGGCACCTTTCGATTGCCACTCGTCGTAGTCCTTGGCATGTCCCCGAGTGTACATCATGGCGTTGAGCGACGATGAGCCGCCTAGGACACGGCCACTGTGATATCCGATGCGTCGGTTGTTGAGGAACTGCTGCGGTTCAGTGGCAAAGTGCCAGTTGTACCTTTTGTCAGCCAGGTTGATGGGGATGGCGGCTGGTATCTCGATGAGGAATGAGTCCCATCGGTTGCGATCGCTGGGTCCGGCCTCCACTACCAGCACCTTGTTGTTTGGATCGGCGCTTAACCGGTTGGCCAACACGCAACCAGCAGAACCAGCGCCGACAATGACGTAGTCGAATTCACGCGAAGTCGCGATGGAGGAGAGAGCACGACTTGAGGAGGTCAATGCAGCATTTCCACGGCGCAAAGTGTGTCGAAGCATCATGTTGAACGGTTGATGTCCTTGACAGGAAGACGAAGAATGAGTCGAGGGACCACGTCACTTTGGAACCCAAGTTGGACCACCGGCCGGCGCCGAGGACGCGGCCAGATCGACGATATCGGGCAGGTGTCGACTGTTTGTGAGCTCTCTCGATTGGTAATATGTGGTCATACGCAAGGCAATATAGGTAATGCAAACTTTATATCAACACTTTGGTCGACGCAAGACGGTTGCGACGTCCTCATAGCGCCAGAAACCTGTAGCGTTGCGCTTCCTCGCTGAGCACACGACCCACCCGAATGGCATTCCTTCCATGCAACACGAATGGACACGAAAAATACCGTGTACCAACAAATTGTTTCCAAATTAGTACATGTATTGTACAAACTATAACCGTAAACAAAAAGTGTAGGTGCAACTTTGGTGTCCATCCCCTCGAAATTTACAATTATCGCTGGCTGGTGTGCCAATTCTTGGCTTGGTACACCGGCACATTGTCCTTCGGCAATGCAGGTTTGCCTAGAATCATATCAGCGGCCTTCTCGGCGATCATGATCACAGGCGCATTCGTGTTGCCGCTCACAATGTTCGGCATGATAGACGCGTCCACAATACGCAGACCTTCTAGTCCATGGACACGAGTCTGCGCATCAACCACAGAGTTGTCGTCCATGCCCATACGCGCCGTACACGACACATGGAATTCCGTGGCCGCATATTTGCGAGCCCACGCGTCAATCTCGTCGTCCGACTGAACACTTTCCTTAGGAGAAATCCCCTCGCCGCAGAACTCCTTAAACGCATTCTGCGCGAAGATCTCGCGCGTCAACTTGACGCCTTCTCGAAGTGTGACGCGGCTCTCTTCCTCAGCCATGTACTTCGGATCGATGATAGGATGCTCGCGTGGGTTTGCACTACGCAACTTGATTGTGCCATCCCGCGAGCCGCGCATGAGTGAAATGTGTCCACTCATGGCATGACCAATCTCACGCAACTGATAGTGTTCGTCCACTGCGCTGGGACTGAATTGGATCTGCAGATCCGGCTGAGATTTACCTGGTGCACTACAATAAGGAACAGTTAGTAGCAGTACGAAAAATTAGGGCACTTTGCAACTTACGTTCGGATGAATCCGCCCACTTCGCAGTGTGAACTAGCGCCTGGTCCAGTCTTGGACGTCAACCATTCGTAGCCAATCTTGAGTACTTTACCAGGGAAGCGCTTGGTTGCATGGTACAATGTGACAGGTTGTTTACAAGCGAATTGCAGGTTAAGACCGATATGATCCTCCATGTTCTTTCCTACAGCAGGGAGGTGGTGTACGAGAGGCACTCCGACTTCTTTGAGATGGTCTGCGTCACCCACACCCGAGAGCATTAGAAGTTGCGGAGTGTTGATAGCTCCACCTGAGAGAATCACCTCCTTGCCAGACAAAATCTTGGATATCGCCTTGGTCTTGTTGTGCTCCACCTCAATACCAACCACCTTCTTGTCTTCAAACATCAATTTGTTCACGAATGTATCCGTCACAACTGTCAAGTTCTCACGGTCCATTACGGGATGTAGAAAAGCAGCCGACGTGCTCCATCGTTTGCCCTCATGAATAGTCAAGTCGTGCCAACCCACACCCTCTTGTTGATATCCATTCAAGTCCGCCGTGAAAGGATAACCAGCCTCAACACCAGCATCGAGGAATGCCTGGAAAAGTGGCTGGTCCTTCTGTGTGTTCCTCACTACATGAAGTGGGCCATCACCACCACGGTAGTCGTCTCCACCGAGCTGGTGGCTCTGTGATCGCTTAAAGTACGGCAAGCAAGCCGCGTAGCTCCATCCTTCAGCACCGTTCGCCTCCCAGTCGTTGTAGTCCTTGGCATTACCACGAGTGTACACCATGGCATTGATAGATGACGAACCACCGAGCACTCGACCACGAGGGAATCCGATGCGTCGGTTGTTCAGGAACTCCTGTGGCTCCGTGAAGTAATTCCAGTTGTACCGTTCATCCGTGAGGTTAATTGGGACGGCGGCTGGCATCTCAATCAGGATGGAGTCCCATCGATTGCGGTCGCTAGGGCCAGCCTCCACCAGCAGCACCTTGTTGCTAGGATCGGCACTCAGTCGATTAGCAAGCACACAACCAGCGGAACCTGCGCCGACGATGACGTAGTCGTATTCATGCGAGGTAGCAGAGGAAGCGAGACCTCTAGTGGGAGCAGTCAGGAGACCATTATGACCAAATACAGCAGCATTCCCAGAGCGCAACGCGTGGCGAAGCATCGTGGCAGAACTCAGGATACTGTATCCACACTGAAGGGAACGAGATGCAAATGAGATTGTGGCGGTCGGCCGATCCATGTTGTCGATTCGTACGGTGGTCAAGACTTTTGACTAAAAGTTTTGAGTACATGCACCAGTACGAATTGAAGTAAATGTTTTCGGGGTGGAGGTACATGTAGTAAGCTTTGACGCATTTGATCAGTAGCGTTACCCGATACCTGCTTCGCTAAAATAATTTCAGGCGACGTGGAGAAGGAGTTCATGGCGCATAGTTGTCCTAGTTTGGCATAGGCAGCGATTCTAGAGTCTAGGGTCTAGCCGTATACGTTTAGCAACGTTTGACATCTTTTTTTTTCTTTTCAATCGCAGTCTAGTATCTTGATGCCGACGCAGTAAACCTGGGTATTGTGCCAACTTATCACAGCACTCTCGTTCGTCATTAGACAAGGGAAGACAGCAGCATAGTCACAGCGGCTAAAAATGTGCGTATCACATTTGGAAGTGGAAGTTGTTTCACAAATACTTCGAAAGTGGCTGCTGATGACATTTGCTATCGGTAGCGGGTTCGGAAAAAGTAGAGTCCATGTTTTCGAAAAATGGAGGAATGAAACAACTCCCAAATCTCCCAAGAGCGCTCACACCAAATCGACAGTAGTGGCGTTTTAGAGTTACCGATAGCCCATAGACTTGTTATAGCCCCCTTTCACTGTTTTGATCTGAGGCAGTGTTCTAAAGGCTTAGTAAAGTGCCTATAAAGCTACATTTTTGCTAGCTGCAATTAAGTGATTTGCAGCGAGTTTGTGAGCCGTGACACCCACCCTAAAAAATCATTGCATGTGCTGCAGGCAAACTCATATTTATATATCCTGGCTCATGCATGGGCCAAAACGTGAATGTTGGGGTGTCAACAGCTGAAAGGGGGTTTGTAAGGTATAAGTGATTCGGGAAGTTACATGTAAAATTATCGGTACGCCGACTCGACATCGTGCTTAGTCAGAATCATACAGTAATTGCTGCCAGGATCGAACGCAAGAGATATCTGCGCTGACAACATCTTTTTTTACTTCGGTGCTTGTTTCATGGAGTCGTTTTTTTGCAACATTTTAGGGAAATGTTGCTAAAAAACGACTCCATGAAACAAGCACCGAAGTAAAAAAGATGTTGTTTGCCTTGCACCAAGCGGCTTCGTCAAAGCCGCATTTGAACATGTTTGTGAGAACGGAAATCGTACATTAATCCATCCTGAAGGTATCCTGGATTTAGAGCGGAATTAGTTGTAGATTTTTGAGCCCATTAATGTTAGGTTTTTAGACCTCATATATACTAATACATACTCGGCAACTGGACTAGGGTCGAACTTATTATTTTTGCCTAGGTTGACAATTGTGCTGATTTGGACTTCGTCTTTATAAATAAAAGTGTAATGATCTGCAATACACATCTATCTGATAATCAACAATCCGTGGTTGGAATCTGAAGAGGTCAGCTTGGAGCCCGACCCTGATCTCCGCTGGACAACACTGAACTTTACGGTGGCGAGGCTGGTGGCAGATTGCAACATTTATCTACATGTAAAAAGTCGGCAGATTAATAGCGATTAGCTCGCAGTCGATGAAGGCAAATCGCCATTAAATCTGAGGATAATATTATTAAAACAAAATATGTTGTTCGTCAAAATTCATGCTGGTGGAAAGCAAAAATAAACCGTAAACGTATGCCAAACTTATTCTTGACCCGATACGAAAGTATGTCGTTTTGTAGTTATTCTAGTGATGTATAAGCTCGATGCAACTTGAAGTGAAATCACTAGTACATAATTTGTTTGGCAAATGTTTAGACTAAATTCGAATAAACATGGCGTCAGCATGGGGTACAAAGTGTACCCAAGTTACATGAAGAGTGACCAGTCACTCTTGTAATACCTGGTACATGGTACCAGGGGCTCTAGGAGCCAATCATTGCATATCTACATAGCTTCATTAAAGGTGACTTCTAGTTTGTATTAGAAACTGAGTTAAGTTTACCTATAAATAAAAATCAATCTTAATAGTAAACAGAAGTCAATTCAAAGCTCATGATATGCGCATAACTTGGTTTTTGTATTGAATTTAATACAGCCTGCTGAATACATGTACTAGAGGATGCAGTTGTCGTCCTCACGCCTTAACTTCTAGCTCTTTCGACCTCTTCTAAATTTGAAAATTCTAAAAAGCGGATTTGTGTTACCAGAGAGCCCGTTACTGTTAGTAAGGATCTTCAAGCGGCGTTCGAAATCTGACATTCGAAAGTACAAAAACAAAATCGCCTAGCCACTTGCGTATCCTTGGTGGCATTTCATTCAAGCCTTCATGCGCAAGGTTTTGTAAACGTTCTCGTTCTCAATTAACTAAGGTTTAGACCTCCTCCTCTTAGCTTTTGTTCTTCTTGTTGTTGTAAAACTCTTCGTATCTCTGCCACACTTTGTAATTCGGGTTCTTGACGACTATGGAGCGGTCCATGCCCTCGAAGAAGTTCTTGTACACGACTTCAGGGGTCCTCCCCATCAAGTACCAGTAGTAAAACTGGGTCTTCTCCATAAAGGTGCTTTCTCGCTCTTCCTCTTCGGCTGAGAGATTGTCTCCAGTGTCACCATCAGCTCGTAGGAGTCTTTTCTCCGCGACGGCATTCTGGGCAGCCGCAAGCGACGGAGTCTGGAGCGGGGTCTCAACGCCTATCACGAGCTTCGATTGTTCGACATTCGTCGAGGCGACAACGAGATCGGTGCTTGCGAGGTAGGCCACTGCAGTGGCCAACACGACGTAGTAGAAGCGCATGATAATTCCAGGCAAACGGTCTTCAGGACTTGAACACGAATTGCGAACTGACTTACAGACTGTAAGTTACAGTCAGCCTGCCTGACTGTGAATAGAGAGCAAGTTGGCAAAGCGCATATGAGCAGTGAAGAGGTGGAACAGGAGACAGCAAAGCCTCCAGATAACGATTAATTGGAGCCCGATGTATTGAAAAATGTATGGTATGCTCTGAAACCATGTGGAAAACGTAACTTTGTTGGTTCTGAATTATTTTACCTTCGTACTTCCATAATTTTCTAGTACTTGAAGTAAAAAAACACTGTGCAAAGCTCCTCAGGAACCAAGCGCAAAAGGAAGGTAGACTGAAAATTACTTTCCATTTGACGTCGGTTTAAATTGGTTTGATATAGCTACGTCACCATTCTACTGCTATCCGAGGACTTGATTTTGTTCCACCCTCGCAAGAAACGAACAGAAGCCCTTGTAGCTTATCTCTGGCTAGTTTCCCAGTTCTTCGGCTGATACACCGGCGCCGTAGACTTGGGCAGAGGAGTCTTGCCGAGGATAATGTCGGCAGCCTTCTCAGCAATCATAATCGTCGGTGCGTTCAGGTTGCCGCTCACTATGTTGGGCATGATAGACGCATCCACAACACGCAAGTTCTCAACACCGTGCACACGCGTCTGAGGATCAACGACCGTGTTCTCGTCCACACCCATACGGTTCGTGCACGACGGGTGGTAGGCGCTCTCGGTGTGTTGGCGAATCCACTCGTCGATCTGGGCGTCAGTCTGGACGTCCTTGGACGGTGAGATCGGGTCGCCACGGTACTCGTCCAGCGTCTGCTGCTCCAGAATCTCACGCGTGAGCTTCACACCATTGCGCATGTCCACGAGATCCTGCTCCTCGCTCAAGTAGTTGGGCTCGATGATCGGGTGTTCGTGCGGGTTGTTGCTGCGCAACTTCAGCCAGCCGCGGCTCTGAGCGCGCATCGGCGAGCAGTGAGCCTGCATGGCGTGGTAAGCTCCAGGGGTCAGTTGGCCAGTCAGTGAACCAGGCAGGAAATGGTACTGCAGGTCAGGGTGACGCTTGCCGGGGGCGCTGCGAATGAAGCCACCCGACTCGAGGTGAGAAGATGCTCCCATGCCAGTCTGACGGAAGATCCACTCTAGACCAATAGCAACCATCTTGTGCGGGTACTTCCTGTAAGTTATAAACACGTCAGAAAATAATTCAAAGCTGCAAAAAAAAAATTTACAGCAACGTACCAGGTTGCGTTGTGTAGCGTGATGGGTTTCTTGCACATGTACTGGACGTACAAATCCAAGTGGTCCTCCATGTTCTGACCCACCGCTGGCAGGTGCTGCACCACTGGCACACCGACTTCCTTCAAGTGATCGGCATCACCGATACCCGAGAGCATGAGCAGTTGAGGCGAGTTGATGGCACCCCCAGACAAGATGACTTCCTTGGCAGCACGAACCTGCTTGGTCGTCTTGTTCTTACGGTTCTCAGTCTCCACACCGACGGCCTTCTTGCCTTCAAACACCACTTTACTCACAAAAGTGTCCGTGACGACTGTGAGGTTGGGGCGCTTCATGGCCGGACGCAAGTAAGCGGAGGCTGTGCTCCAGCGGAATCCCTTCCAGACCGTCATGTCCATCCAGCCGAAGCCTTCCTGTTGGTATCCGTTCATGTCTTCCGTGAAGGGATAACCAGCCTGAACACCAGCATCGATGAACTTTTTGAACAGAACCTGGTCCTTCTGGTTGCCGCGGATGACGTGCAACGGGCCGTCGCCACCGCGGTAGTCGTCCGGGCCCAGCTCGTGGTTCTGCGCCTTGCGGAAGTAAGGCAGACAGTCGGCGTAGCTCCAGCCGTCGGCGCCGCTCTCCTGCCAGTCGTCGTAGTCATACGCGTGGCCGCGGATGTAGACCATGGCATTTAGAGACGACGAACCGCCGAGCACGCGGCCGCGCGGCCAAGGCAGACGGCGGTTATTCAGGTGTTTCTGGGGTTCCGTGAAATAGTACCAGTTGTACTTGTCGTTGGCCAAGTTGTACGTGAGTGCAGCGGGCATGTGGATCTTCCAAGAGTCCCATTTAGTGCGGTCGTCGGGGCCCGTCTCGACCAGGAGCACCTTGTTGTTCGGGTCCTCGGTCAATCGGTTTGCCAGCACACAGCCGGCCGAGCCGCCGCCAACGATCACGTAGTCGTACTCGGCATTGGCGGCCGAAGAGCTCAGTGCACGTGCAGCAACTGGTGATGCGCGCTGCTGCAGGGCGGAGGCGGAGGAGCGGAGCGAGTGACGTAGCATTATCGGAGTCAGTGGCAGTTGAACTTGTGCGGTCGCGAGCCAATCTAATTATGACGTCGACTGCTGCACCAGTGGCGGGTTTCGGCCAATGAGGCGGGAGCGACACGCGGATTGGAGGAAATACGGCGCGTGCAGTTGCTGCTTGGCAGCCAGTATGCACGAGTAAAGATGAGGTGGCCTAGACGATAAAGGGGGTTCCGAGGCCAGCAGGAGCTTCCTATGCTAGCAGTGTGGGTTCGATGCGGTCGGCGGTGAGCTCCGCAGGATTGATCAGCCCACATGTCGCAGTACAGTGATGTCAGTAATACTCCAACTGGCACTCAAGCGAGGCAATTTCGCTGATCCGAAAGCAAAACAAGGTGCAGTGAAGACAGTTTTCCATTTTCAGGTGGATATGTTTTTGATTTGCTCTGCAAATGGTGAGAGGACAGCTCCGTGTTTTGGGATTTCGCTGGTTGCCTCTTTAGAGATACGGAGCCCAAACAGCCATCTCGCCACCAGCTGTTTATTGCCACGAGTGAAGAAAGAGATCCAAAAGCTTTTGCCCAAAGTTTGGGACCGCGTGGCATTGCACTCGCTGCTTGTTCACTTCGAGCAGAGCAGCAGCTATAATACCTGTGCGACCACAGCCACCGCTTTCGGAGCCACTAAGTACCACCAGGCAGCAGAATAGTAATCTGCTGGCGCTTCCGTTGATATCCCAACAGAACGACTGGTTGCGGTGGCTGGATGTCTCTGCTTGGTATTAACAGTTAATAATTACTTGATACTATCAAGGCGAGATTTGGTGAGTGTATCGACAACTGGGCGTACTTGCATGCCCTAGCGCATCTTGGTCACATCCGGCATGTGGTGTCACTTGCGGCATGTCGGTGATGTCAAAGGAAGCAGCCTACCCATTTCTTGGACTACAGCGATTAAGGCCAAGGAGTCCTTGGTAAGGACAACGCTTTGATGAGAAGCACGACGATGGCAAAGCAATGCCGACGTTTAGTGTCTCTATTGTCGATCCGGATACCAAGAAGCTATTGGACGAGCTGCAGGTCGGAGAGGTGTGGGTACAGGGCCCGTCAGTGGCTATTGGATACTGGAGGCGACCCGAGTATACCGAGGAGATGTTCCGTGCTCAGTTAGCAGGCGAAAACTCGCTCCTTCGAACGGTTCGGTGCCAACGGACTCCAGAGCGAACATAGCAACTTAAGCAACAAGTCACAATGTATTCGTAGCTCACTTATCCGTGGTTGGTCTTATCTTAGGTTAGTGATCAGCAATAATACTGTAGTGCAGAATAATCGGACTACATTGTGTCACACACGAATGCTCCATGGTTTCCGCTAGTACGTGTAGTGTTCTTTGTCGAGCATTGAAAGCGTGGATAGAATTACCGGCGGCTACGCAAAGTACCGGAGTTAATAGTGGCTCGGCAACAAACCACACCATGGTCGGCACTGTCGACTCGACAGTGCTTGCCCGTCATACTTTGGCCAGCGCGCAACAATCCGTTTACCTTGCGTGCGGAGTGCTCTCCGCTGCATCAGACACTGGACGTTACATGCTATATGATTCAGCGCCACAAACTCCGCCAAGGCTGTCCTCCATTTAATACTACTAACGTTAGTAGCATTAATACGCCGTTGTCTTTCTTGGCTCTCAAAAAGCTGGAGCGCGTAGTGGTCGGTCCGACGCCGTTCGTCAGACAAAATATTATTGTCTCAAATTCGTCGCGTCGTAGTGACTGGAAATAGCAATATTGGAGAAGGAATCTTGCGCTGGGTTGATATTGTGGCCTGCCGGGGTGAGATCGAGGGGCAAGGGCTGCCGAGGCGGTGATTGCAGCTAAGGGGAACGATGGAGTTGCCAAAGGATAAGGCAACCACCTCGACGGACGCGATGCTGCCATCCTACGCGCGACGCACGGGGCGTATCGGCAGCCTGCAGGAATTCCAGCAACGCGCCGTTCGCTACAGTCTCCAACCCGCCAACGGTCAAGAAAATAACTTTGCCGCCTTACTGAAGGACGAGCTCGATACCGACATCTCGGACACCTACGTAGGCGTCACCCCCGATCGCCGAGATAGTGACGGATCCGACTTCGTCGAGACCTTCCGAAAATATGGCGGCAGGAAATCCGTCTCGGGTGTATCACTCTTTGGAGGTGAGAGGGGTCGAGCTCTCGATAAGCACAGATACTACCGTCGCCAACTCAAAGCAGTGTGCTTCTTGATCCTCTTGGGTGTCATCGGAGGACCCTTGAATTACGGTATTCGAGTGCTGTTTAATTACCTCATTGAATTGAGAGAATATGTCGTAGATCAGGCCCCAAACTACGCATCAAAACTCGCAGCTTGGACAGCTCATACTGTCGTCTTTTCAGGTCTGGGGATCTTCTTCACGCAACTCGCACCGGTTGCTGCAGGCTCTGGCGTCTCCCAAATGAAATCGATTCTAACAGGCATCGATCCGCGGATGTATCTGCCTGGGTATTTCGACTTCTCGACGTTTCTCGCTAAAGTTGCTGGTTTGGTGTGTTCTGTTGGTGGAGGGTTAATTGTAGGCACCGAAGGAGCCTACGTCCACATCATGTCTATCGTCACGCACCATTTACTGAAGACACCGGTGTTTAAAGGCTTTAGTGTCCATCTCAATGGCCGACTCCAATTACTGGCAGCGGCCTGTGCCGTGGGCGTGTCGTCGCTGTTTTCGTCCCCAATCGGTGGCGTCCTCTTCAGTATGGAAGTCACTTCCACGTACTACCTCATGTCCAACTACATTAAGGCGTTCATCAGCGCCGTGGCTGGAGCAGTGATGCTACGGTTAACTCTGGTATTGGCAAAAAGCGAATCCAACCTCGCGACGCAGGCAGTCTTGAAGACGCAGTTTCCTGCCAGTCCGTTCACTATCTGGGAAATCCCCTTGTATATCTTCCTGGGGACTGTACTGGGTTTATTGTGCACAGCCATGATGTGGTTCTTGCGCAAAATTGCTGAACACAGAAGCTCCTTTCGAAAATCATCCCAGAAGTGGAAAAAAGTTTTGGTTACGTGGATTGATCCGCTTATTGTGTCGATCTTAACCGCGGTGTTAACGTTCGTACCAGGTGAATACGCTCGACATAACTCGATGGACGACCTTGCTATTTTATTTACCGAAGGCGAACTCCCTTCGTCGTGGCATGTGACGTCCAAGTACTACGCACTCTCCATTTTATCTGCTGTGTTCATGTTCCTACTCCCGCTATGCATCACTCTGCGGATTCCTACTGGAATTTGGGTACCAACGTTCATCGCGGGTGCCGCATTCGGTCGCATGTTTGGAGAGGTCGTCGCTACAGTTTTTCCTAGCCTCAGTGTGATTCCTGGAACGTACGCATTGGCTGGTGCTGCTGCGTTTGGCACTGCAGCCACTCGCGCAGTCTCCGTCGCGGTCATTACACTGGAAATCACGGCGGCAATGTCCATGATCCTCCCGTTATTCTGCTCTTCGCTTGCTGCGATGGCAGTCTCCAACCTGTTCAAGGAGAAATCCGTCTACGACACGTTACTGATCGTGAACGAAATGCCATTCCTGCCTCTTGTAGACTTTGAACCAACTGAAACAGCAGGTGACGTCGTGGAGCCATGCTTGGTATACATCACCAAGCGAACGTCAATTGCTCGTATCCTGCTCGCACTCCAACGACTGCCGCATCATGAAATACCAGTTGTTGATGATGAAGCGTCGATGGTCTTACTGGGAGTGGTGAGTGGCTCCCAGTTACGAAGGTTCGTTAGGAAATACTACGAGTTGAACGGCATCGCAGAGGTTGATGTGGATCTTGGCGAAAAGCCCCAGAAGGAAACGCCGTCGCTATGGTGGGCCACACTGAAGGACAAGCTTACGAACACTCGAACAGACAACACGGGTGGCTTCAACGGCATGGGATCAATCGATATCACATACAACGCATTGTCAACCCAGAAACATCATTTGATCGGGCCTGGAGGTGGCGCAGTTCCGTTCCTACTGGACGACTCGAAGATGTTGGGGCTGTTAAACGAAGGCTGGGACAGTGCCAAGGCCGAGAAGCTCAACGCAACAGTGAAGATCACGGAGGGGCGGATCTGTATCATCCGTCCTATGGCCATGACCATCTCGAGTAACACGCCTCTGGACGATCTCCACATGATCTTCACGATGCTCCGCTGTGATCACTGCTTTGTATGCGACCACGGAGCTCTAGAAGGAGTTGTCACCACTAAAGGACTACTGCGCTCCGGCAAATTCGCCGGTGTTGCGTAACTAGAAACAATAGATAATCCTAGTGTAGTTTGATTCGAATCTTCTTTTGATGTTCGCGTCGAAATGCATGAGCAAAGCCTCAGCGTGTAGATGGGACATTTAGCGTGACGTGTCGTGCCGCGCATTCCTGTCTTCGTGTACGATGGTCTCCGCTGTTAATGAACTTCAGGATCAGTTGCTGCCGGCTCACAAGCGCCGCACGGGGCGGATCGCGAGTCTCACCGAGTTCCAGCAGCGCGCTGCGTCGTACGACCACGACGACACCGAGGAGTTTTTAGTTGATTTGGACGCGCACAGTGAAGACTCAGACTTTCTGAATGCTTTCCGCAAATATGCGGCGCAACGATCCATGTCCAGTGGCTCGCTCTTCGGTGGAGAGCGAGAGCGCGCCAAGAACAAGCGGAAATACTACCGACGACAGCTCAAAGCGGTGAGCTTCTTGGTGCTCTTGGGGGTGATTGGAGGACCATTGAATTATGGGATCAGAAGGTGAGTTTGGAATGGAGCTGAAGTAATGAATGGGCTCGTAACCTGGTATTTTTGACAATCTAGTGTGTGCCAGGAGCTGCTGGATCTGAGAGATACGATGGTTAACCAGACGACATCGGAGCTGGCACGGTACTTCATTTGGACAGGTCACACTGTGGTTTTCTCTTTCGTTGGTCTACTTATCACAACGATAGCCCCTGTGGCTGCAGGTAAAAAGCAGTGGGATTGATGCTGTTGGAATGCTAGCTTAACGTTATGTGCGTTTGAAGGTTCGGGTGTTTCACAGATGAAGGCGATTCTCACAGGAATTGATCCGAGATTGTATCTTCCTGGCTACTTCGACTTCACTACGTTGGTGACCAAGATTCTGGGCCTTATTTGTTCGGTTGGTGCAGGTCTCGTGGTAGGCACAGAAGGTTGCAACGTGCACATCATGTCCATCGTGACGCACCATATTCTCCGGTTGCCATTTTACTGCGGTTTTAGTTCACACCTCAACGGCAGGATCCAGCTCCTAGCAGCAGCGTGTGCAGTTGGTGTGTCGTCGTTGTTTTCATCTCCAATTGGTGGCGTGTTGTTCTCGATGGAAGTCACAGCGACGTATTATCTCATGTCCAACTACGTCAAGGCGTTCATCAGTGCTGTGTCTGGAGCTGTGATGCTTCGGATGACACTAGTTCTAGCCGAAAGTACCTCCAAGCAAGCGACCACAGCGATTCTAGCCACGTCTTTCGGTGGACACCCCTTCTCCATCTGGGAGATTCCATTGTACATGTTGATGGGAGCGATGCTAGGACTCATGTGCATTGTGATGATCAAGTTACTACGAGTCATTGCGCAAATTCGAAAGGATTTACGCAAATCCTCACATACCTGGAAACGAGTATTCGTCGAGTGGATCGATCCATTCATCGTCGCGGTATTATGCGGAACTCTGACGTATGTACCGGGTGAGTTTGCTCACAGCACGACAATTGACACGCTCTCGACGCTGTTTACCGAGTCGGATCTCCCTGATTCTTTTACCAAGTTCTCCAAGTTCTACACGCTCTCTGTTCTGCCAGCCATCTTCATGTTCCTGTTGCCAGTGTGTATTTCACTCAAGATGCCCACAGGCGTGTGGGTTCCAACGTTTATCGGCGGTGCTGCTTTCGGCCGGTTATTTGGTGAAACACTGTCAACGTTGTTCCCCAGTATCGGCGCTACACGCTTTGGCGGGAGCTGCTGCGTTTGGAGGTGCAGCCACGAAAGCAGTCTCGGTCGCTGTGATCACCCTCGAAATTACTGGTGAAATGTCGTTGATCCTCCCGATCTTCTGCGCAGTGTTGGCTGCCATGGCAACGTCAAGCTTGTTCAACGAGAGGTCAGTCTATGATACACTACTGATAGTCAGCGGCACCCCGTTCCTCCCGATACTGGACTTCGAACCAGATGCTTGCGCTGGAGATATCGTCGAAGTATTCACCGTATATATCACGAAGAATACAACCGTGGCAAGGCTGTTGTTGGCACTGCATCGGCTTCCAAACCAGGATATTCCTGTTGTTCAGGACGATAAATCGATGGTCTTGTTGGGGGTTGTCAGCTCTACGCACCTCAAGAAATTCGTACGAGCGTATTATGCTGCAAACAGCCTCGAGGAAGTAGAACAGGATCTTGGTGAAGAGCCCAAGTCTTCGTCATCAGGTTTCTCTTGGGCTACACTGATGGATGTCGTCAGAAGCAACCAGGTTGGAGGACTGAACGGGAACATGTCGGTCGATGAGACGTACAGCGCTCTTACGTCGGCGGCTAATCATCTGGAAGGCAGTGCACCAATTCCGTTCCTGATGAACGACGAGAAGATGTTGGCCTTATTGAGCGATGGATGGTCCGCGTTCAAGCGAGCCAAAATGAACGATAGAGTCAAAATCACGGAGGGTAATGCCTGCGTTATCCAGCCTGTTGGCATGACGATATCGAGCAACACTTCACTGGGTGACGTTCACATGCTCTTCACCATGTTGCGCTGTGACCACTGCTTCGTATGCAACCGCGGCGCACTTGAGGGTGTAGTGACCATGAAGGGTTTGCTGCATTCCGGAACGACTTATTGCAGCAGCTAATATCTAACGTAGTAAGCACCAGCACCAGCTTTCTACAACTAAAACGGGGTGAAATTAGTAAACAAACGGATTCATATTAGCATTGACGCGGTGGAACCCGCTACCCAGCCGTCTTCTCTAGAGCAACATGACCGGCTGGCGGCGCCGGAACGTCAAGTACACAGGCGACGCTGCGTGAGCCAACATGCTAATGCTCTTCTCAAATGTCCACGACGTGATGGATTTCTTGTTGATCGCCACCAAAATGTCGTCCACAGCGATGATCCGAGCGGCTACGGACGGACTCTCCTGGTTATTCTCGAAGTCAATGAAGCCGCCGACCACGAGGTTTCCCTCTGCAAATACACAGCCACAAAACACATCAGCGTTAGAGTTCCGATACAAAAATCAGGTAACAAGTCACTCACGGTTCATTCGCAGTGACATGCCCAGTCCGTCTGGTCGTTTGGGCACGGCCACATCGTAGACAAAGTCGGTCTGGAGCGGAGTGAGCAGGTCGTTCATTGCGGCCGCCATAAAGTCCGCCCGAAGCGATGGATGCAGCACCATGGTCCCGAGTACGAGCGTGACGGCCGCCGACTCGGGCACGAAGTTTCCGTAGAGAATGAGCATCTCCATGACCTCCTGAGGCAGCACCAGAGTGCCGCCACAGCGCGGGCATTTGCGCTCCATGATACGACGGAATGACATGTCCACGCCCGGTATGCGAGTGACGACGAGGCAAGACTCACAGGCCGCCAGTAAGTGAGTAGCGCGCTCTTCGGCTGGAGCGGAGGAAGCGCCAAATGCCATCGTAGACGGCGTTTTGAGGTTGTAGGCGTTCATCTGCTGCTGTTGGGGGGTTTGCTGAGGGTTGTACTGTTGCTGCTGGGCGTTGTACTGTTGGTAGAGAGGATTGTATTGCTGCTGGGGCTGGAACTGCTGAGGCATCTGCATCTGCTGACTGGCCGCCACGGGGTTCATGGAGGCGGCATCGTAGCCAGAGGAGACGAAGTTCTGCTGCTGAGGTGGCTGAGGGATCTGTTGAGGCTGTTGAGGCTGAGGCAAAGCAGGTTGCAGGCTCTGCTGGTGCTGTCCGAGTCCTTCAGGGACTTGAGCTGGGACTTGTGTCTGCTGCTCTTGAGCCTGCTGGTCCAAAATTTGCTGCGAATTTTGCGCAGACTGCTCCTCTGCGACAGGCGGTTGAGTTTGTTGCTCCTGCTGCGCATCCTGCGGCGCCTCCATGGGCACGGGCTGTGCCAGCGCCTCCATCTTAAGCCGTCAAAATGTGTACAGATTCAAGTAATCGTACTTAATCCAGCATCTCCACCACACCAAGCATTCACTCTTGCTTTATCCGATTTTTGGCGCCAATAGCCAAATTAGCAACAATGGCCGAGAGCTCTGCCCGCACTGGCAGCGACGCTGAGCGCGATGAGCTCACGGCCTCTGCACAACACGACGAAGAGCTCGAGGACTTTGGTGTGGCCTCATCCGACGAAGAGGCCGACGCTAATGAGCCTCAGCTCGACGACGCAATGATGAACGAACTGCTGCTTGTGTGCTCCAACTTGGGTATGCTTCGCGTACAAAACGAAGGCGAGGAGCCTGTGCTGATGCGTGGCGAGAACTGCGCCGAGTGGATCCACGATCTCCAGCGCGCTTTGCGTAGAGACCACGCGAAGCACAAACTGGTGGCCAAGCAGTTGGGCAAATGGAAGATCTTACAGAAGAAGCTACTGCCACTGCTCGTCAATCACCAGCACGACTGGGCGCTCGTCTTCTCCATCCTTAAAGTGCTAGTGATGCTCACTATGAAGCCTCCAAAAGACTCCACCAACATCGCTCAGCAGCTCAAGTATCTGCGCCAATACAAGCACGAGTTCCTGCGCTGCGGCATCATCCCCATCATGATGACGATCCTCGTGGAGCCGCTGTCCCGTAAAGGAAAACGCACGGCTCAGGACTATTTGAATATGGAAATTGTGCTCACTCTGATCAGGAACTTACTGGCAATCCCCAACGAAGACCCGAGGTTTGTGACTTCGACCACGTCGTACTTTAGTCATCTACAGGAGGATCTGATCTGTACGTTGCACGAAGAAAACGTGTACGAGATGATTTTGCTATTCGCACAAGATATTGACTCGCCAGAGAACAGAGAATGGAACTTGTTGATCATGGAGATGATCGACTTGACGCTGGACTGCTCGCAGCCGAAGTCGGTAGTGGCATTCGCGAAGAAACAGTGGGAAGGCACAGCCAAAAGTTTAGGTGAACAGGTGGCTACATCGACGTCATCGAGTAGTTCTACAGCGTCGAGAGCTGGACGAAACACGGCACCGGCGAGAGGAGATCTCCTGGCGAAGCTCAACAATGAAAAGAAGGCGTCAGCGTTGCATCAGTCAGGATCACGTCGTCATTCTAACTTCGGCGGTGTGCTGACGATGGTCGGTCCGACTGGGAGGTCGACGGTATTGTCGGATTTCTCGAAGACGGTGTATGATCAGGTCCCCCAGGCAGCCAAGAAGCCGGTCTCGAGGAGAAGAGGAAAGAAGAGTGCGGCTCCAGTTACAGACATCCACGAAATCTTCGGCGGTAAAGGCAAAGTGACTGAGTCCGACGAGTAAGTTTTGAGATGACGTGTGTGCCCTTACGTTGGGCTTTATTAACCGTGTTTTATGTTGTGATTTGATTTGTCAGACGTACTATGAGTGTCCTTCAGGAGATTTGCGACTCTATCGTTGGAAAATCATATTTCCAGCTCACGAACTCGTTGAAGACAGAGTTCCGTCGAGGCAGCAACAAGTTGATCTCCACGGATCGTCTCCAGTACTTCCACCTCGTTTGGTTCCTCATGACATATCATCGCTTGAAGGTCCAAGCGCTGAAGTCGCACTACAAGCAGCAGCTGAAGGCAGCCCAGAAGAAGACGACGGAGCTTCAGAATGCGTTGGACTTCACCACTCCTCCACCTCCGGCCCCTGAAAAGCCGGACTACGACGAGAAGGCAGTGCTTTCTACGCTGGATATGTTCTCGTTCAACTTTGTGCTTCAGTCAATCGAGAATTACGCCACGATGAAAAACCATCACGGCATGACTGTTTCAGTCCAGCTTCTGACTGAGATGATGGCATATCTTGCAGAGCTCACTGCAAGTGATGACCCCCGCTTCCAGCGTATCGCCGACTCTCTGCAGCATAAGATCTTTTACGAGCGCGACTTCCTGGATCGGCTGCCGGTATTGCTGAAAACATGGTCTCCAGGCCTCTTTCCCAAGGCATACGTGGTCGACGTCGTTACGCTCACACATGTAAGCTATGATGGATCTACATGCTGAGCGAGTGGGTGACTTGAGCTGATTGTTGATGTTATTTCTATTGATCGCAGCTCGTCTTCAAAGTGCTGGACTCTCAAGGAACTATTAAGGTTCTTTCACGAAGAAAAGCATATCTGGACAAGTAAGTGGACGTAACCGGGTGTCGCTAATATGCATGACATTGCCTCACTATTGTGCGTTGCTGTTTCCAGAAAGCGACAGAAGAAAAAACGAAAGGAGGGGGAGTCGAAAGACGGTGAAGACTCGGATGACAGCTCTACGGATGAAGAGGAAACAGAAAGACAGGCACAACTCCTTATGGAAATGCAACGCAAAGAGGCTGACTTTGACGTGCGGAAGTACTTTTCAAGTATGGTGTCAGCAGACACGATCCGGATGTACTGCTCTCTACTTGCCGATTACCGTGAGAACAGCGCAAAAGTGAACCATTACATTCACTCGTTCTTCTACCGGACAAAGCACTTCAAGATCTACCAGCAAGAGGAATGGACGATGCAACCGATGCTCTTCAACATCCACGTGTTCCTGCTGTTCAACAAGATGCTCCAAGACTCGTATATCCAGCGTCTCCCCGAGTACAAGAACTTCCTGGACTTCATTCGTGGCGTTGTTCGCGACTTCTTCACACTCGCTGACAAAAACAACTTGCTGTTTGTGGAGGCTCTGCTACGTCAGACGTACCCTTCCAAGTCGTGTATACTCATCCAGCGAAGTTACGACCCGATGGATTCAATGAGCAAGTCCAAATCGGAGGCTGTTGCACTGGGACGAGAGAGGAGAATTGAGGCGATTAACGAGTCAAGACGACACCGCATTGCTCTGGATCATGAAGAACTTGAGGGTGAGGCTGAGTTCCAGTTCACGCTTGGGCCGTCGGATTTCCAGTCGACGTCGCTGGTGGATAAGGAAACTAAAGAAGACGAGGGTGAGGCTGAAGGTGACGCCGAAGGTTCGTCCGAAGCTGCTACAGCAAAGCCGAAGCTGAAACGGAAGACGCCAATGTCTCGCGCGGCGACGGAGAGGGCAAAGAACTGGAGTAAAGTCGAGGATCGTTATCTGGCGAAGGTGTACATGAAATTCCGTCATCTGCCCTCCGTGTACGAGGTCATTTCGTACGAGGACATGTTTCAGGAACGTGATCGAACACCCGAGCAGATAGAACGTCGTGTTAAGTACCTGAAGCTTCACCGGAAGACGCACGACTCATCTGATGAAGAGGAGAACGAACAGAGTGCTTCCGATGGGGAACACAATGGCGATCTCGAAGAGAATACTGTGCGAGAATCCAGATTAGAAAAGGACCTCGCTAAGCTTGACACTGCTCATTCCAGACGACGGCTGCGTCGTGGAGCAGACTTAAGTGATGATGACAGCGACGACGATATGCTTTTAGCAGGACCAACGAGTGCAACAACCGATCCGTCTAGCACTGCTAACGCTGCGACGGACGAAATATCTATTGGCGCTTCTGACGCAATCCCTGATGCGGAGATGAACGGCACAAGTCCGACTGTGAATTCGTCAAAGAACGATGACACTGACGAAAGCCAAACGCAAGACATGGAGGAAACCCAAGTACTTGAGGACAACTTGGACTCGCATCCTCTAACAGAACAGTCTTCAGAGGCGCAGGAAACTCAAGAGTTTGAAATTGCGGATGCCGTTGACCAGGCTACGACGCCAGAGGTGTCTATTAACGGTGCGAACAGTGAATCTGGCAATGAGGCTGAGGACACCGAGATGGTTACTGCTGATATGGATGCTGCAAAGATAAATGGTAGCCAGGTGGACGTAGTCTTGGAAGAAGCCGCTGATGCCCAGTCTCTTAAGCGAAGCCGCGCCGCCGAAGGGGATGTGGAGATGGAAGACACGCCAGCGAAGAAAGTTCATCGCGAAGAGGAGGCCTCAAGTGCTGATACATCTGCGAGCCAGCGTAACTGTTAAAATTTGGGTGAGCAAAGGTCAACATTGATAAACATTTAGTTAGATGATTCCTTCCTGCAGATCCTCATCTGCGTCCAAGGTGTCTGCATCAGTCTCCTTTGAACCCATGTTGATCCGATGTGCACTGACGATTTCTGAGAAGCATTGTGTACGCAGCAGAGCTCGATAGAACGGTTGATCTTCTTCAGCACGCGTCGCTAGGAACTCGGTCTCGTCGAAGATAACCACAGACTCCTTCGTGTCGCCCACCACCAGACAGGCATTCGTATGGCCGCTCAAGAGCTCCGAGAACAGATCAAAGCAGATTCCTCGTACCTGCTCATCCCGCTCAGCTTCCGTCTCGGGAGGCGAAGAATACACGAAGGAGCTGTCGACGTTATCAATTGGCGTCGTCTCACATCCTCCTATTGCGTCGAACTGCAGCGTTCTCGGGAATAGCAACCTGTCCAGCTCATGCTTAGCAGCTTCGAAGCATCGAGGCAGGAAGATCGACTCTTTACCCACATCATCTCGCAGCCCCAGACCACGCCAAGACACGGACTGGTCGCCGACGTATTCCACGACTTTGCGATCCACATCAGCAACGAGATACAAACCCCGCGTTGGAAGATCTGATCGTACCGCAAACTCGCTGTTCACACCCACGAGAATTGGTGTGGGACACTGCAGATAGGACAGCAGAGGCTTTGGCAGCACAGGAGCATACACGTGACACCACGAGAACGGACGCAACAGGTTGCGGATCGCCTCAGCGCACATGGTCAGCAGCGAGTACTGGCTGGCAACTACTACGATACTGCACTCCAGCACAGCGCTGGCGAGAATCTGGAGGACCATTGCAGTCCCAAACTGCTCGAAAAGGATCGTCATCGGGACATCCACTTGTGTCTCCAGTGTACTCAAAGGTAGACTCAAAATGCTGCTGTGTTTCCGATGAGCCAGACGCCGCATTTCCGGGTGCACGTACGTGTGAGTTCTGGCACTCGTAATAGTCGTTCTTCTCCAGCTGAGACTGCTTTGAAACAGCAACGCTAATCGATCATGCGCGAGGACACTGGATGGCTCTTGGACGCTTTGAACGTGCTCTTCCACCAACTTCCTAAGCGAGTTCACGAGCGGTAGATGCGATAGCAAACAGAAGCCTTTGGCCACATAAATCTCGTCGTTGGAGGATCCCACGTGCATGGGCTCATACGTCAAGTAGACTGATCCAAACAGGAATCCATCTCGACCGCTTTGTTGGAAAGGGAATAGGATATCAGCAGGACACTTTTCACCACCTGACCGCTTGATGAGGATCCGTCCGCTCGGAACGAGGAAAGTCTTGATTCGTCGTCCAATGTCCTCAAAGGACTCATCGTTGCTGTCCTTTTCCTTGTGTGGATTGGGAACAGGCATGAGCATCAGAGTAGCAGCGGCATCCTCTCCCTCCTGTTTCTCCATGAACGTCGCGAACGTCAGGATGGTATCGATACCGCAGTCATCTTCCTTCGGCACGGGTGCATTCGCACTAGGAGACTCGTAGTTGGGTCGGTAGTGCACTTGAAGTCCTTCAGGAAGCTTAGTCAGTCGGATGATACTCTCGAGATTCAAGACCACCTTGGCAAAACCACGCTCGTCTGTCTCCTCCGAATCGCTCAGACTTCCGGCTTCGCTGTTGCTCGCACTCAACTGATCGGAGCTTTCAGTGGTTGTTGGTTTGCTGTCAGCGCTCTCTTCTTCGTCTTCGTGCTCATTGCTGCCCGCTTCACTCTCCCCATCAGCTACGTCAGCATTGGTGTGCACCTTCGAGTACTCTGCGGATGAAAAGGCTCTGGACAGAAGCTTCGGTGGCGAGTCTTTGGATTCCACGAGATCAAAGTGGATAAGCGAGTCCTTCAGCGCAACTTTGTAGAGATCGCTCTTGGTGAATCGATCGTACCACGACGACCTCAACATGGCGAAAATCTCTTGCTGTGCTTTGTTAAATAGCGACTTGGCTACAGGTTGTGGCGGCTGGAGTTTATCATCAAAGCGACGACTAGATACCGCCAAGTATAAGTCGTTCTTGGTCGCAAGAGTGATGGCCTGCGAGTCATTCTGTGCCTTGTCCACTAGCACACGTGCCAGTCGCCAAAAGAGCTCGTATTTCTCTTCTTCCAGCAAAGGTTTCAGCACGTACTCGACGTGTAGCCAGAAGTACAGCTCGAAATGCTGTCGACTTTGCATCAAGAAGAGTAGAAAATAGTGAGCTGCTCGTGGTTGTTGTAATACTCTCTCCATCGGGATCCTCCTGGTACCGTCTTCGGTATCAATAAGCATTTGCAGGTACTCGTCGCTCTTCAAGAACCTCGGCATCTCTTCCCGAGTGAGCCTCATGTAGGCCAGTTTCTGAATGGGAAAGAAGCTGTCGTTTACCTTGTCTGTCTTGTCAATATTGTCCTTCACCAGCTGCTCCAATTCGGTCGTGAGCTCTAGTGTTGCGGCGATCTGAAACTCCGACGAATTGTCAATGTACTTGTGCCATATCTTACGAGCCTGTTCACGTTGTTTCCCTTCGTCCACTGTCTGGAGCTGCTCGATCTCCATAAGGAAGAGCAGAACCTGGTGATAGTTACTGTGTGTGGTATCGCTAGGACTCTCAGCGTCCACAGATAAAAACTGCAGCAGATACGGCAGCTTCTTCGGGTCTTTCACGAGCTCTTTGAGCGTGAACGGCACGTGGCCCTGCAGCTTCTGGAAGCTCGTCGTATCCATCCCCACCAGCTGTCGATGCGTCTTGTGCGTGGGTTTCTTCCATTGTAGTTTGTTGGGGCGGAAGAGCTTGCGCAGCTTGGAGCTCACGGGGAATGGGTACGAAAGCTCCGACATGTTGGATTTGGGCGGTGAACTGCGGCCTGTGAGACGCACCGAGTTTCTCTTCGGGGCAGGTGGAGGACTTGGACCTACAGCGTTGAGTGACGACCGACTGGGGGCGTCGTTCCCGCTGGGTTTGTCCTCCCCGAAGAGCCACGAGTCGAGGCTCACGTTGGTGATGGAGCGCATTATTGCGGACTAAGGATTTGGTGACATGATGAGCAACTGTAGCGATTGGAGCAACGTATTAGCAACGTAAAACGGGTTTGTGCAACTTTACTTCAGTTAAGAATAAGAAGGATGGCGGACCGGGCAAAGGTGCTGGCGCTGTATAAGCGCATCCTGACTCTGCACCGACAAAAGCTGGAGCCACACATGCGGGTTCTTGGAGACCAGTACGTGCGCGACGAGTTCAAGCGGCACAAGAGCGCAGCATCCAAGTTTGTACCGCCCTTTATGCAAGAATGGGAGCAGTACGCGGCCGTCATGTCAGACAAGAAGGACCGCTTCGGCCAGGAGCTCTCGGCTGAGGATAAAAAACTGCTGGACGGAGAGCAGAAGGTCAAGCTGCGCTCACTGCAGGACGCTGCCAAGAAAGTGGGCGAGACAATCGCTTAGAGAGAATCAATGCAGGTTTGCTATCGACTTGGTTGTTTGTTGATGCATTTAGTTTGCCGTCGACGTGTATTGAGCCGCAAAGTTGGAGACGAACGAACTGGCTGGACCACGAGCTATGATAACCTCGACTCGGTGGGTGCAGGTCTAGCTTAATCTAACTCGTATAAGTCGACTTATCGGGCGCTTTACGCAAGGTTCGTGCCGCACGTGCGGCGCCAGGCTACATTGCATCAGCAAGACTATCGGCGATGTTTAATAGCTCTCGGATTGCATGCCCTGCTCCACGAATGTCGCCTTCGTTATCGACGCGTTAGTGTGGTCTCTGGTGTGTGGCGAAGCCCAGATACTTCGAAGCTCAAACGAAGTACGCTGCGATTTCTCCGGTTCGCAAACCGGAGAAATCGCAGCGTACTTCGGCATTTCCTGCTGCCAGCTCACACTGAATCGATGCAAAAGCAAACTCCTCATGTGTGACTTCGTGTCCAGGGCTTCTTGCCTTTTTCACACATCACAGACGCCAGGAGAAAAAGCCCAGAAGCTCCTTACAAACTTCAAGTCTCTTTCCGACCAATCACTTGCTGGGCCATGAGGCGTCACTCTCCATCCTCCTCCATTGACGCCGCCCTTCATTGCGTGCGTCGCCTAGCGCCGTGCATCCGCCTCCCGTCCCTTTAGTCAGCATGTCCAGCAGCAGCAAGAGCAAGAGCGAACCGGAGATGCGTGAGTTCGGCCGCGATCTCCGCCGCGCGCGCACCATCCTCATTAAGATCGGCACGGAGATCGTGCACTCGCCCGAGGGCCTGTTGGCTATGGGGCAGATCGGCAACATCGTAGAGCAGATCGCAGCGCTGCACATGCGCGGCCACAACATCATCCTCGTGTCCAGTGGCTCTGTGCCCATCGGCAGGATGGTGCTGCATCGCCAGTATCTACTCTCGGGCTCCATGCAGTCACATCTCGGCGGCCAGGTGGGCGACAACGTTCAGTTCGACGAGAAGGCATGTGCTGCCGCCGGCCAAAGCGGTCTACAGAGTCTCTACGAGATGCTCTTCGCTCAGTACCATCTGGCCTGCTCCCAGGTGCTGGCATCTGACGCAGACTTCAGGGAGCCACAGGTCCGTGCCAACCTCCAGCGTGCCATGCGCGCCCTACTGGACGTGGGTATCATTCCTGTTATTAACGAGAACGACGTCATCACGCTACGTACTACGCCGCTTATCGTGGAGAACAAGATTGCCTGGGACAACGACTCACTCGCGGCGCTGTTCGCCCAGGAGATGATGGTGGACCTCATGGTGCTTATCACGGACGTCGACGGCATCTTCACGGGCTCTAAGGACAACCGAAAGCTCATTTCAAGGTTCCAGCGCGGCGACAAGCAGATGATCGCGTCCGAGAGTCGTGTCGGAGCCATTGGACAGAAGGACAAGCTACACTCGTGCATTCGCGCAGTGGATAGTGGCGCTGTGCGTGCTGCTGTGGTGGCGAAGGCGGAGCAGGGAGTGCTGCTGCGGATTCTTAACGGTGAGCGTGTCGGTACTCTTTTCGTGTCAGATGGAGAACCTATTGGCGACGCCAAAGTGGAGGAGCAACACATTGACCCGATGTATTCGGGTATTGCTCCACAGGCTCGGAATCGTATAAGCAAACTATAAATGACTGTACCGGTAAAGGTAAATGTCGGGGTCATGGCGTGCATTTTTTCCGACTATGGCAGGCACTGAGTTCCCTCCTAAGGCAATAATGATCGGTGGTTACTGCCACACACTATTTCAAAAAAAAAATACGCGTATGTGACCAAAATGTGGACTACAGCACTAAGGTTAGGGCAAACAAAAATAAATTCGAGCCTTTCATTCTCAATATTCTATCTCGGAAAACTAATACTTGTTTCTTTGACGATTCACTCGTTCTATTCACAATAAAACTAGCTCTGTGTTAACGGTCGCTACAGCAAAAATCAGGACTAAAATTTCCTGCTGTCCTGTATAAACACGACAAATATAACATGTATCTACTGCGGTTAGGTGTGTATGACAAATATCAATAGATGACAGGTTACCCTTAGAGCATTTTACCAATGAGTTCAAAAACGTGTTTAGGGTTGGCGAAAGATCAGTAGCGCGGGGCACATTTCCATCAACCACTTTTTCCGAGTTTTGCCGATGGCGGCGATCCTGTGTCGCGCTGTAGAAAACAACACAGCGGTGCAAGATGCTGTCCAGCAAGTGACAACGGACAGTCTCAAGTGCCTCGCACGCAACACTCGACGCAGCTACGAGCCCGAGCAACGGGGGTATTGTGGTGTAGCAATTCCTGGTGATTGCTAGTGTGACTAGATTCAAGTTGCCAACGCTACGAACGCGTGGTCACGCGACAGGTGAAGATTACGATGCAAACGAGACAAAGCGGTGTTACTCCGACCTCTTGTCCGGTTCGCCTATGACCAAGAAGTCACTCAAGTCAGGTGGTCCGTATTGGTAAAGCTGGATCCACATTCAGCAGCACAGAACTGGCAAACCACGGTCCTATTGCTCGACGACGGTTGGAATGACTCTTCAATGGCTTCAATGATCGGGTGAATGCTCAGCGGAGACCTGGAAACGCGCAGGGACTCCTGAAGCGAATGTTGGCGCGCGAGGTGTCAATAACAGAATTTTCCTGGGATAGCAGTACGAAGTGCTGCAGAGCAGCTTGCAGGGAATTAATTCGTTATTCTTCGATTTTTGTTCTATAAAAAGTATTCAAAAATGTCCGCCACGCTTTCACGTCCTTTCACCCTTCATTTTTCTACCAGTACTGTACCACCACCGTTTTTTAAGATTTGCAATTATTATATTAGAGTGAACCACATATATTTAATATAGGAACATTGAAATAGAACCTTCGCAGTTAAACCACGAACAGCACGTAAGTCTCGGAACGCAAAAAGGCGACAGAGTTATGACGCTCTTGCCAACAATGCTTCCGTGTCCCGATGCTATCCCAGCCTCCGCCTCAGCCCTGCTCAAGCGAACAAAGCGACGTCCGGCTTCGAGTAAGCGTGCGGTCAATCTAGTTTGGGTGTGTTATGTGTGGTGTAGTAATTCCCACGGCAACTCTAGCTACTAGTGTAGGTAGGTTAAACCCACAACAATACGTCTAGAACGGCAGACGATCGTTCGGGCGTGATCTGAAGACCCAGACTCAGCCCTAGCACCAGGACAGACAGGACCTGTAAATCGCTTAAATAGGCCAACCAGTAAAAA